CTGACCCTACCAATTATGAAAATATGAACTGGGTTTATTTAGTTCAGAGAAGAGAAGACCAAGAGGGGATTTGATAGCAGCCTTTAACTACCTGGAGGAGGGTTCCGAAGAAGATGGAGCTAAGCTATTCTCAGTGGTGACAGATGACAAAACAAAGAGCAATGGTCTCAAGCTGCAGGGAGGTTTAGGTTGGACATTAGGAAAAACTCTCTCACTAGGAGGGTGGTGAAGCACTGGAACAGGTTACCCAGAGAGGTGGTGGAGTCTCCATCCTTGGAGGTTTTTAAGACCCAGCTTGAGAATGCCCTGGTTGGAATGATCTAGCTGGGGATGGTTTTGCTTTGAGCAGGGGGTTGGACTAGATGACCCTTCCAATCCTAAATTTATACGATTCCTGTCTAATTACTTACAGCTTATCCTATATTCCCTGGTTGTATTTGTATTACTTGCATAAAGAATAAGGTCCAAAATCAAATGCTAATATTGTACTATTTTATATACTACTATTAGTTGAATTTGATCTATTTATTGTATTACTGTATATTATGTTCTATTATTATTTTGTGTCTATGTTACCTTATTGTACGATGTTACCAGTAATTACACATTACATAATTTTATTGTTAATTTTCCTGTATTCTTGTAGTGAAAGTTGTAAATAAACTACTACTTCTACTTCAGCTACTGGTAAGGAAGAGCAGGAAGACTCATCTACCTTTTGTGTTGATAGGTTTTTTTTTCCTCAGGGACTTTAGCAAAGTTGCATAAGATTGTACTTTACCTAATAGGCAAACTACAAAGAATAATGCCTTGCCTTACTTTAAGAGAAACTTGTTCTGATTTGACTGTTTTTGAATAAGCATCCGAAAACTGAATAGTTAGCATAGGCCTTTCATTTTCTGCTAGCTCATTAGATGCACTCTTGAGTACAATGCACTACAGAGTGTGAGTACCAGTATTAACTGTGCATTGTAACAGGTCTTATTGGACTCTTAAGATAGACTTAAGGGGCTTTTAGTTTAGAGGGAAGCCTGAGAGTTGGAAACTGGCACAGTAAAGCTTGTTGGGAGATGAAGCAATGGTATTAGCAACTTTCTATCCCTAATACAAAGAAGACCTAGCTTGAGAAATTATGTAGCTAAACGGGCCTTTCCTGTAAGAAGGGGCCCAGAGAAAGCGGTGGCATTTTAGTAGATTGGCAAGAGCCAGCATAAAGAGACAGCCAGGTGGCTATGTAAAGATAACTTCATTGTCTAAGGCTGGAACTGAAGATCTCAGAAGAGGGAAGTTTAAGTCCTTGTTTAGGGTTCTGTTGTACCCAGAGAGAGAGAAATGTTTGAATTTTTACTACTATGAAAAGGGCGTATTTTTGGTTTAGTAGGAAAGCTAAATTAGCATATCACTGAGGGCACCTGAAGCAACAGCCACATTGTCATGAGAATCTGGTAAAGCTAAGATCCATGTACTAAGATTCAATGTCCATTCAAGTCAACAGAAAGATTTAGTGCTTTCAGTGGGTTTAATACCATGCCGTAAACTTTCTCTTCTCCATAATGACTTTGAATTGATCAGGAAAACCCTCTCAGTAATTTGGGAGTGCAGGTAAGAGAGAAGTAATATCTACCATATTTCCCAACAAAGTGTCTACTTGGACTGAGGAGAATGTACCTAGAGCTGAGAGTCAGAAATTCACTATATTTATGTATATGTATATGCATATATGAATTTTAGGCATTTAATTAGCCAACATCAGCTCTGCATGAAGTCCTATGTACTTATGTCTCAAACACACCTTTCCAGGGCTGCAAACAGACATTTATCTCAGAATAAACCATTTTATTTTGGAACAAAGTACAATCATACAGGCATCTATGTCTATTGTCCCTGGATAAATCCTTAAAAAGTTTACCAGGTAAGAAGTACCAACAGTTTATCCTGGGACATTGCAAAGTACATCAGAACAGTTATCCCAGGATTGCCTCACTGAATCAATGGCAGAAAAACAGCACTGCATTCATCTGTTCACCAAACCCTGATTAGAAGGGAAGTTGTATATTTGCCAATCTCAGGATGTTTGTTCTGGGATAGACATGATTTATCCAGGAGGTATTTGATAGGAAGCATGGTTCTGGAGATAATGCACTGAGGTGAGTCCCAGATGATTTTGCTTCCCTTGCTACCTCTGTAACTGACTATATTACTGGTCTTGGAAAAAACATTTCAACTCACCTCAGTTTTCCTAGCTGAACCATACGAATAAGGGGACCTTTGTAGCAAGCATTGAGATCTATGAGCGAGAAATGCTATATAAAAGCAACCTGGTAACAGATGCAGTAACAAAACAGAGAGATTGAATGACTATCCCTAGTACAAAGAAGACCTAGAGAGAAATTCTGTGGAGAAATTCTCCTGTACGTTTGTAGCAGAACTGCTGCTAAAACCCTCTATAACCTATTGTACATCTTCAGAATATTGCTTCAAATTTCTGCATTTAGCTAGGCCATCTGTAAAATAGGGAATTGGATGCCTGCATACCTTGATGATTGCTATTATTGGCTACATTAAACAGATGGTAAAACTCAAATACAGGACAATTGAATGCCTTGTTTGGGAGTGGGTTAGCCATACAGCCAGCCTTTTCCAGAGGTGGTGGTAAGGTGAATATTTTCTGTAGATATTCTGTAAATATTTGAGAATATTTTTTGTAAATAGAGAGGCTAATAAGTGTTTCTCTGGGAAAAAGTTTATAATATAATACAGTGAAGAGGTATCTTTTTCTAAATGAAAACAAATATTCTGCTAAATGAACACAGATAGCAAAATGTATTAAAACACATATCTTAGAAGGAAGCAAACTTTATAAGGCATCAGCAAAGGCCAGATTACATTATTATGATAATGGAACTAGAATAAATAGGCAACAATGAAACATTATAATGTGCAATGTGTGCGTTCAAGTCCCTAGTCCCACAGTCAGATATGTGTATGGGAAATATACAGTCAAGGAGACTATACATATGCCCATATCTAATTGCTGGGGCAACACTTGAAGTTGTAATATGACATGCAATTATTTTATTTTAGTTTAAGTAGAATGAGTTCATGTCATAAGACTACATGTATATGCACCAAAGGTCATAATTAAGGTCACATATTCAACCTTAAGTTTGATATTCACTGAATGAATTTACTAGTCTTGCAAATACCTTAAATGGGTATAATTAAAAGATTAGAGAGGGTATTTTTTCTGCCTATTTTTTTTTGCATTTAACCCCAGACACAGTAGTTTTACCCTTTCTCGTACTGGGTGAATGGTTTTCCCTGCAACTTGGCATCTTTAACACATCAACAAGGAATAGGAAAATATACTTTAAACAAAAAAAAAAAAAAAAAGGAAAATGGTACATACCAAACTACAAAAAAAGTTAATGAAACTCAGAGGCAAATATAATACCCAGAGCATCCTCCAAACCTGTTTTTCCTTCCTTTTTTATAAATGATTGGAGGGACTGAATTACACTTGGTAGTCTTGTTAATAGTTCCCAAACATCAGGTTGGTTTTGTTGTGATTTTACATCTAATAAGACTTTTTCTTTCTTTCTTTCTTTCTTTTTAAATGATGTATAACATGGTCAAATTAGTATTTTTGGAGAAACCTTAACTGTTGAAATTTCGTAATCTTTGGAGGTGAGTTCCTTCACAGTTTTCAAGCTATATGCATGTTACTTGTTGCATTATTATTATGATTATTATTATGCACTTACTTTACTAGAAAGTAGAGCATGGTGATCAAAATGATACAGTGAAACAGGCCAACTGCAAGCAACACAGTAAAACCCGACTCAGCAGTCTCAGAAATATTCTAATTTAGGCTTTCTTTCTCCTTGTCTCTTTCACTTACATTTATTCTCTTATCTTTTAAGTTTGAGTTCTTTGCCCTCTCTCTCTGTTGCCTTTACTGTAGCCATTAACTCTTTCATTCTTTCCATGTTCTTTAACCCTAACTCCTAAACACACTGGAAGAAAATCTGCTTGCCCAACTCAGGTTAATAGACCACTGAATTAAGTATTGCATCATTAAGCAATGAGTATCTAACCCACAGTTAAAACAGTTCCTATACTTGGTTTGAATGGAAATGGAGTAATGCATCACATTCTTTAGGAGATGTGATGAGTCTTAAAGTTTGTGGTACGGAGTTTAGAGTACATAAATCTGCAACATTTAGTTGCATCTCTTTGTTTTCCTTTTATAAAAATGAAACAGGTGCCAGTTTAACCAACAGTAGTTTTGCTTTGAGATAACAACTGTACCATATCCCTTGTCAAATCAAATCCTTGTGTGAGTTTGATCCAAAACTCACTGAACTCAATGTGAGTTTTTTTCATGGACTTCAGTAGGCTTTGAATGAGGTCCCTAATCAGTAGATTGTTATCTCTTGTTAACTGCTCATACTTTGAAAAGTTAAGTGCTTATCTCAACAGAATCTTTGTGTTTTTGCTAATAAATATGCTTAAATACTCACTTAAGGCTAAAAAGTAAGAGATTAAAATGACAACCAGATAAAATGAGTGGTTAACTATTTAAACATTAGCTGCTTAATATATTATAAAAAGTAGGAGGCATTCCTTCCGACACAGATCACATTTATCATGTTCATCTAATTGACCTTGAAGCTTAATGGTGTTAAGATGAAAGATGAAATTCCACCTTTTTTAAAGGAAGCAGTTTAAAAGACTCAAATAGGATTTCTAAGTGTGTCTCACTTTCTGATTTCCTAGTGTTCTGTTCCTATTGAGAAAGCAAACTACACAAACCCAAAGGGATTCCCACATCCAACTTTCACACTTCTTATTGTTACATGGCAGTGACCACTCGATTGACAAATAGAGTGATTGCCTTTGAAAGATTTCTAAGGATATTAAGAGCATGAACTTCATTCTTTTTAAACACCTTCTTAAATAAATGCTTCAAAACAAAGTCAACCATTGATCCAGGTCTCTGAATAAAAAAGTTCTCTGCATTTGACAATTGAATTTATTACTAAGAAGAAAATGTACATTAATCTTTCTGGTTTATTGTCTTCATTTGACAAAGGTAGAATTACAGAGTTGTTGAGCAAAGAAAGATTTGTACCCTCTGTTTGGGATGGCAAATCTACATAAATTCATTGATTGACTGTTAGGATAAAAGCAATCTTGACAGTGCTCTGTGTTGTTACCTGAAGAGAAACAAGGATATAATTTATGCTTTGTTCTGTACTAATCCTTGCTAAATAACTCATTTTATTCTCTGGATACATTTACTATTCCACCACCCTGATTTTTATAGCAGGGAAAAAGAACAATGAAAAATGATTATTTACTGCTAGGGGATGTGGGCAGGGATTAACCAGGAGAGGGGAGGGGGGAAAACCCCCACTACTAACATACCTGGAAGAGTGTTGTACTAGCCTTGCTGATTGTGCTCCTCTCCTCCCACTGGGGTTCCTCCTGATTTCAATGGGGGAAAGAAAGAGGGGTGGGCGTGGGGGAAGGAAGGTGCCAATCGTCTATCCATCACATCTGTGCGCACAGGGATAAACACACCAACCAACCGTAGGAGGAAAGATTGTTTTTCCGTTGAGAGCTGCAACTCGGCAGAGTCTGCGCTCAGAGGAAGAAGGCTCTTGCAGGTGTGCTGAGGAGGCTTCCTCCACGGCCGCCTCTATCACACATCCCCTTGACTTGTGCCACCAAGGGTGGAGGTGCACTTGGCCCTGAGGAAGGGGCAAAGGGAGATGTGGGCTTGCGTTGCTTTTGCAGAGCAGGGCCCCCCCCCGCCTCCTCACACCCCCTCCATTCAGCCCTTGGCCTCCCGCCTGCCAGAGCCAGTGCAAAATTGGGTTTTTATTCCCACTCCCCACCCCCCCTTCTTCAAGGCGGATCTCCACGCAGTCCAAGCTTGTTAGTCATGAGTTGGAATTCCTGCAAAAAAAAAAAAAAAAAAAAAATGCAGATTTTAACTCAGAAAAGCCTAAAATAATCTCATGGCTCTGAGATGCAGGTGCTGAGAGCAGGGGGGCTCTGGCGCGGGTCACCCCCCGGGGCAGCACTGCGGGAAGCGGGGCCGAGGACCCGGCTTCAGGCTGCCGGAGACAGGGGCGGTGCAGCCGGCGGTCCCCTCCAGCCTGCCCCGACACCGGACCCTACATTTGCGCTCGTGTCCGAGGCGGGGGCTGAGCTCCGCGCTGCAGCCTGCGCAACCAGCCAAGCCGCGGGCCTCGCCCGGCAGCCGGGGGTGGCCTCTGGAAGCGGCGGCCGGAGCCTCCGCGCGGCTTCCTCGGCTCATCCCCACGCCCCGCTCCGCCACTGGGGCCGGGGCTGG